GGCGGGCTCGGCCGGGCGGGCGGCGGAGCGGCGCTCGGAGCCCCGGGAGCACCTGTGGAGGGGAGCGGGCGGCGGCAGCGCAGCGGGCTCGGCGGCCCTGCTCCGGCCGTGTCGTAGCGGGCACGGCGGTGCTGCCCCGGGGACGGAGCGCGGGGCGGCCGCGTTGCTGCTGCTGCTGTCAGCATCGCCCTCATGGCAGGTTCGACGTGCAGGTGCTGTGGGAGTGAAGGCTCCTTCACGTTAACGTGTGAGGAGCTGCTGGTTTGTTGGGTTTTGGGGTTTTTTTTTTCGTTTTTAATTGTTGGTTTTAATGAGTGGAAAGGCATCTCGTGATTCCATATGAATATTTCCAATGCGGTTGTCAGAGGATGGTGCCAGATTCTTTTCAGGGGTGCCCAGCAACAGGGCAAGGCAGAATAGCCACAAACTAAAACACAAGAAGTTGCTCCACAACATGAGGAAGAATTTCTTTCAATGAAGGTGGCAGAGCACTGGAACAGGTGCCCATGGAGATCCTGGAGTCTCCCTGTCTGGAGATATTCCAAACCTGTGTCACCTGCTCCAGGTGACCCTGCTTGGCAGGGGGGTTTTGCTGGATGATCTCCAGAGGTCCCTTCCAGCCCGAATTATTCTGGGTTTTCTTTTATTGAAAGGCCAAAATATCTCTGGATTTTGGTGTGTGGTTTTGTTTTGTTTTGTTTTGTTTTTTTTTTTAACAGTACAGAGTGATTGTTTTGCTTCTGCTCAGAGATTTGTTATAGTATAAAGCTACTTGGAGAGAGCAACATAGATAAAAAATAACTGCAAAAGCTACTGTAATTAAAAGTATAATGTGGTGAATTAGGCTTGAGGAGTGTATGGGCAGGTTTTGTGCCAAATAAACCAAAGATGCACTTGCTTACAGAAGTGAAGTGTCTGTACAGTCTAGATAGGACTGTGTTAAGAACAGACAAAACTAGTACCAGGAGAGGCTTTTCTCCACTGCTTAATGCTTCCCCACCACTGTGCTTGAATAATGACTTTAAAAACTTCTGAATGTAAACCTCCACAGTTTTATCAGTGTTTATCAAGCAAAAGCTTGGAGCAGTGTAACTTTGTAGACTGGAGTGTCACTGTGTCACTTCTAACCCAGAATTAAATTAGGCCTCTTAATGAAGGCTTAAACAGTGTGAAAATGAGCATCAAAATTGCAGCTTTGTGAAGGAAAGCTGTTTGCTCATCTGAAGCTCTTCACTGCCTGTCCTCAGCTGTAGGGGTAGTGCCTTTTGGGATGGGGCTGTGTTTCTTTTCCTGACTATCCATTTTTATTTTGACTTTTGACTTTATCCATTTTTATTTTGACTTTTTGAAGTACCTATTACATTGACTGTGCCTTGCTTATCTGTGGCCCCAGGTGACAGTGAACACCCCCACTGTTTTTGCTGTTTAGTAATGGTTCTGGTTCTGTTGTGGGATGTCTGATCATTTCAGAGTAGCTGAGTTATTGGCACTGCTGTCACTCTACCTCACTGCAGAGCCCATAGTTTAGTGACCTGTCCACAGCTTCTTTATGTCTGAGGTGCTGGAGGCCTTCTGTTTATTTAAAGGAATAATTAAAACTATATTTCCTTCAGGATTGCCAGGCATTATCATGTCACTGTTTAGCTTTGCTGAATCCAGCAGTTACTCACTGTAATAGTGGGACTCTGCTGTGTTCAATGGATCCAGCAGCAGCCAGGACAGCTTTTATCCTGCAAACAGACAAGTGCTCACTGGAAGCTCCAAAATGCAAGGATTCCTCTGTCTGTTATTAGGATATGGCTTCAAACAGGAAGATACTCTGAATTAAAATGTGTGCTGTTTTAAAACTATACCTGAAATCGGAAATGCTTACAGTAAGAAACCTGTAAGAACCAAATGTGCATAGGGAAGTGTTCCCAACAGCACAGTGGTGGCCTGAAATCCTTGTTTATTGCAGCTTGGGATCTCTGGTCCCAGCAGGACAAGTAGCTGGTGTGTGAATTGCACGTTCCCTCGGTGAGTAAAGCAGTGCCTGTGCTCAGAGCCCAGTGGCTGAGCAAACCGTGCACTCCTCACTCACATCTGAGCCCTGCAGCAAACCCCATTCCAAGAACCGTTTCAGTTGACTTCCCAGAACGAGTGATACCGCCCTGCTTTTCCTGGTTTCTCTGAAATAGAAAGATCAGGGCCTTTGCTGTTTGCAAGGGCTGCAGCAGCACGGTGAAAACTTGTATTTCAGGTCCTAAGACTATTGTATGAAGTGAGGATTAGGCAATCGGCTCTTTCTTTGCTCCGTGAGTAACTCTGTTCCTTACTCCAGGCTGTTATGAAGGTCAACCCTCTCCAGTAACGAGACCAAACCAGTAATGATCCAGTTAAACACTGGTTACACTGAAGAACCAGGAGCTGCCCGTGTTTATCACTGCACCCTTTCTCATAAAACAGTGTAACGTGGGTTTTATCTTTAACTTAAGTGCTCTAAGAGAATAAAGAGGGAATACCAACGTGCAGCCAGAGAAAGGGAATTTCATTAGGACAAAGCCATGTGCTGAGGGGAAATGGTAAAACTTTAGTTACTGTGTCTTCAGTCAGGTGTTGCCTCCAGCAGCAGGTTGTTCTCATCCCCTCGGCTATCCTGCTAACACAGCTCCTGGAGATTTATGGGCACTGTTGGGTGAAATGGTTCTTTGATTCAGGCACGTTAAAATCTTGTCTTGGCAATTGAGTTTGGAACAGCTGGGCCATCAAGTTTTCTAATTACCTTTGTCCCTTGCTAAATGTTATTTGAATGAGTTTTTATTCTTGAAAGAAGAACAACTTAAGCTATTCTATTTTGCCTGACAGAACTACTTCTTTACATTTTATCTCCCAGCCTTTTAGAGGTTGATTAACCTCAAAAAAAAAAAAACCCAAATAAGTGAAACAGGCTCTTAATTTCTTTCTCTCCATTAACCGAATCGTTAACTAGAAGTCTGAATCCGTTGATGTGATGATTTGGGTCCTTTAATTTTAAAAGATCAGCAATCTAAGCTTTACTGAAGTGTTTTTACTTCTAAATGTAAATAAAGCTTGTAGCTCTTCAGTGCTACTCTGTTTGCTTCTGTATCATGTATCCAAAATCAGGGAAGTGTTCTGTAATGAAAGTCTTAAAGTTTAAATGTTACACATACTTGTTTATCCCCTTCCCCTGTAAGGCACTGCCTTAAATGTCAGAAGTTATTAATGTACTTAATTATAGATGCTCTGAAATACAGACTCCTTTTAAAGGTGTTCTAATAAATCTGTTACAAATGGAAGTATTTCTAAAACATTAAGCTAGAATTTTGTAAGGTTTCCTTAATTCAAGGCTTTATTTGTATAATTATAGGCACCCTGACTTTTGACTTAATTACACAACCAAAAATGCAATGTTTTACAATTGGTCAGTCTCCCTGGGAATAGATCCCTTCAGCAAGTGAGAGGCCCGAATTCTTTTGGGGTGAATATGCTGCAATTGCAGAACTCTAATCTTCTCTTTATTGTCACTGCCAGAAACTCCAGATGAAAATGGCAAAACCCAGCGAGCTGACAGTCTTATTATGAAGAAGATAAAGAAAAAAAAGAAAAAGAAACACCGGGAAGATGTGAGGGGAAAACGCCTGAAGATGTACAACAAAGAGGTGCAGACAGTGTGTGCCGGGCTCACTCGCATTGACAAGGAGACTCTGTCTCAAGGACAGTGTGACAACCTGGAGATGAGCAAGGAATCCTTCAGGTACCTGAAGGATGAGCAGCTGTGCAGACTGAACTTGGGCATGCAGGAATACCGGGTCCCCCAGGGAGTGCAGACCCCCTTTGTGACACACCAGGAGCACTCTGTCCGCAGCAGCTTCCTGAAGACTGGCACTAAATTCAGTAACTTCATTCACGAGGAGCACCAGTCCAATGGAGGTGCCCTGGTCCTGCATGCTTACATGGATGAACTCTCATTTTTGTCTCCAGTGGAGATGGAGAGATTTGCAGAAGAGTTTCTTGCGTTGTCATTCAGTGAAAATGATAAAAATGCAGCTTACTATGCTTTAGCCATAGTGCACGGAGCAGCTGCCTATTTACCAGACTTCCTGGATTACTTTGCTTTTAACTTTCCAAACACTCCAGTGAAAATGGAAATTTTGGGCAAGAAGGACATTGAAACAACAACAATTTCAAATTTTCACTCTCAGGTAAGAGCTATTCAAATGCACAAGTGTTGCACAATGCCTAGATTTGATTAACCTCGGTAACCCAGAGCAGTCATGATTTAAAATAGGCAAGTCACAAATGTATTTTCCAAGCAGATGAAGAAAGGTGATGTTAGGACTAATCTACTGTGCTGTGTGTTCTTGCTTCTGCTGAAAGCTTTTCTGTGCTGCCTGGTAGCTGGTGAATCACACATCAGACACTGCTACCTGTGACCTGAGGGAAAATCTACACTAAGGGAAGATCTACACTGAGCATCTTTTTCTTCTAAACTTGGGAAAACACTGAGATTGTTCAAAACAGCAGCCAAGTCTGTGTCAAGAATTGCACAGACTGCAAATGCTAACCCTGCTTTTCTAGTCAACAGAGCTGGGGTTTGTTTTTGGGGTCTTGGGATTTGCTTTTTTTTTTGCAATGACGTTACTTTTCATGTTTCAGTATATCTGTTTTACCAGGTTTTTAACATCTTAATTCCCTCAGTGCCATGTGCTGTTTAAACTTTCTAATTTGTCAGGGTTTAGAGGATCTTTTAAATTGCCTTTGAAAAGGAGTTTCATTTTGTTTACTCCCTTGGTTTCCATGGTAGGCTTAAACTAGTTTAAATTCTGAAACTGTATCTCCATGTAACTTAAATGGATGCAACAGTAAAAATTGAGCTAATTTTAAGATTCCCGTATGAAAGTCTCTTGGATTTTAGTCTTGTGATCAAACTCAGAAGTATCTGTGAGTACATCACAAGATCACAGCTTAGATAAAATTAAAATAAAGCTTCTTTCTGTTTAGTCTGTTTAGTCTGAGAATGGATCCAAACTGCTAATCAGACCTTTAAGGTCTTTACTTGAGACATTAATTACATTTACTAGTTCACCTGTTGGGGGGATAAATCTGAAACTCTGTCATGGACTTCAGTTCAGTGTGATAGGAACACACCTTTAACAGCAGACTTTGGAGTGTTAGTGCTTGTGGATGGGTTATTTTGATTCTCTGCAGGCTTTACCAAACACTTATAAGCAAGATTTGCATTGGAGAAACAATTACTGCTTTGGGGAAAGTTACTGCATGGTCGCTGTGGAGTCTTTGAATAGCCTTAAATGAAAAATTCTGACATTTGGCTTTTTGTTTGGCACTGATTTGCTGCTGCAGCACTTATTTTAAGCAGCTTCTGTTTCTTAGTGTAAGTAATTCTTTGTGTTGACAGAGCTGTGTTTGGGTGCAGAGCCCCCAAAACAATCTGAGCATATGAACCACTGCTGTGGGCAGCAGCACTTCTGCACAGCACACACCTGCGTGCTGCAGATGTCACATGTGTCCACAGGTCAGGCTTTAAAGTCTTCTGTATTAATGATTTAGCTGTGTTCTTTAGTGTCCTGATTGCATTCTGGCTTGAGTACATGTGATGACCCCTGAGATGGCTAAGCAGAGCCTCTGGAATGTTTAACAATTGCATTTTTTTTTTCTTTGTGAATGTTCTGTGAACATGAATACTGGCACTATAAATACACGTGAGGAATGTATGGTAATAAATAAGAGGCTTTGCTGGGTTATAGACTGCTGGTACTTCAATTAATTCTATTTTAAGTACTGTCTAAACTTGATTAAGATTGAGTCATGACATAAGGTTCAGTTGGTCTAAACCACTTCTGTAAACCCAGCTCCAGCATGACCTGGTTAATCCTCTCTGGCTGAAGTGTGTTAGTGCAGTTCTCCCTGAGCAAACAGGGGAGCTGTCTCAGGCAGCTGCAGCAGGGCTCTTCAGGGAATACAGTGATGGAAAAGCTGAAGAAACATAGAAATTGGTGGTGGGTTCACCCAAGCTTAGCAGGCTGGCTTGTCTTGAGTGGAGAAAGCTGCAGTGCCCTGCTCCAGGGCCTGGGGTGATGACCCTGGCTGTTGTGCTCCTGTTCCTTGGTAGCTCTGGTGAGGGTCAGATTGGCCAAGCTCCACTTTTCACCCTTCTGAGTGAGAGTTGTACAGTACAGAAGCACTTCATGGTTGTGCTTTAGCAGATGAAACATGTTGCACTATTGTAGGCTGGAACACTGGTTATTTATAATTAAGTTGCCTCCATTCTGGGTTCTTTGTGTATGAGTTTGTTTGCTGCACTGACCTGTGCCAAGGGATTTGGGAGCTTTAGGGAGTCTTGAATCCTGAAGATTCAGTGTTCAGAAATCAAAACTTGTTCTGTAAACTGCAAGTTAATGTGACCTTTGGCTTGCACGACATTCAGCTGGTTTGTGTTTTTAGAGAAACTGAATTGTAGTATTCAAAATAAGGACTTTAATCTGAACGACTTGGTAAGTCTAGTGATAATTAACTGCCTTGCAAGGTGAATTCCTTTGTTCTCAGGGCAGTGAGTTTATAGCAAAGCACTCCAATGTGAATTTGTTACGTAAATGTTTGGTTTCAGTATCTTAAAATAATTAAGCTTCAGTGTCCTGTGGATTTTTTTGCTTGCATTGGTTCTAATACTTCAATGCTGGAGCTCAGCTTTAGTGTGGAGCTGTTCACTTGGGCTGAGAGCTTTCAAGACTCAAATCTCTGAGCAGTAATTTGTAAGCTTTCCTCACATATAAGGGCATGCTTTAATTTGGAAGCTTTGCCGTGCAGCTAGAATGAACTCTTATTTTCCTTATCACTTGTTTCAGTACAACTGCTTCCACTCAGTGAATGGGAATATATTTAGAGTTTAAAAAAAAAATTTCTGCTTTTTGTTTCCAACTGATCAGCTCACCTGATGAATTCTCTCTGATCCAAAGAACAGTTACACTGTCACAGAGGGTGTGTGGGGGTTCTGGGAAGAGGCCAAGAAAGAGAATTGGGGAAGCAGGTTTTGCATAAGCTGCTCTTCCTTCTGGGAAAGGAGGTGAGAGAAGCAGCCAACAGGTGATAACTGGGTGAGTTTTCTTACTCCTGCTGTTCAGAAAGGTTGCTCTGTTCCTGACAGCGTTCATGAACCACATCCCAGTTTGATTGTCTGCCCCATGTGAACCTCTCTGATTCTGGGAGGGCAATTTCTTTTTTTTACCAGTAGCTACCAAAGTATGAAATTGAGAAATTGTGCATCTGTACTGAATCCTTCATTTGGTTTGTCACTAAAGCCATATAAACAATGCCCAGTGGTCCTGCACTATGTCAGATTTTAGTCAAGCATGTCACCCTTGCTGTGCTGGCATGTCACTGCCTTGTCCTTCAGCAGGAGCCAGCCTTGTGCTCTTGCTTTCTTCCTTGTAGCCAAGGTTTTGTGTGGTTGGTTTTATAGCTGACTTGGCATGCTGAAATATTGTTGCTGTCAACTGATTCATGCTTTTCTTGCAACTGGAGAGAAACTTCAGAGACTTAACCTCATTTGTTTCCAGCTGATGCCTCATCTGCGTGTCCTCTTCTCATCCTGTGCTGCTCACTTAACCCGTGGTGAGGCTGGGCTGCCTCAGGAACATGCAAATAAACACCAGCTCCGAGCCTCTGACAGGAAACACTGCCTCTGTCTGCCTCTGTTCTCACCCAAGTGTGGGAAACGCTGATAGGCACATGGTGCAGCCGACAGAAAATGTCTCCATGAGCACTGGAGCTAATTTTAAATGTGCCCATAACTGTGAGTGGGGGGTACACACAGCAGTGATGGCTGGGTGGCATTTGAAAGGGCACAGGCTGCCTGAGCTGTCTTACTGGCCCCATTGTCCATTTGCAGCAGTAAAAACAGTGGCAGTGAGTGCTTGAGATCCACTGCTGCTTTTAAAGCAGCACAGGGAGCAAATTGTAGCAAGGGAGGTGCTGTGGTAAAAAGTTACTGACTTCTGGCAGCCACGTGAACTGGAGTGACCCCAGCTAAATTCCTAAACAAGAGTTGGACTTTAAACAACAATAAAAAACACTGAGAGAGGTCCTAATGGATGTAATGAAGTGACTTCAGCTATTTCATCATCTGAGCTTTCTTGCCTCAATGAGGGGTGCACACAGGTGACTGTGGGGTGAGCAGAGCTCAGAGGGAATCTGGAGCACCTGGTGAATGAAAGGCCAAAGCAGCTTGCAGTGCAGCAAGCAGGGTGCTTACTCATGGGACACTAAACCACCCAGTTGTAAAGGGAGAGCAAGGTGCCTGTTCTTTTAGATGTTCATTGCATCATATTGTTGAGACCACTGGCCTAACCAGTGTTTGCTGCTCAGAAGGAATTAAGGATGAGAGACGCTGTGAAGAAGTTTTTTATGGCATCCCCTGTGATTGAGGTGCTTGAGATGAATAATACAGCCTGCTGGGATTGTGGGTTGGTGCATGTTGTCAGTATAAACATGTCCTGGGTTTAATTCTCAAGGGTGTGTATATTCCTTTGATTTCTGTTAAAACTAGCAAAGCATTGAAATCCAGTGTTTCCCTAAAGTATTTCTTCTGTTTCCTTTATAACTCCTGAATTGGTCGATTTTTCCATTGTTCCAGTGCATTTAAAAAGAAAACAAAGTTAAAGCTTCTAATTTTTCATTACCTTTGAAAACATTACATGGAAAAGCTGCATATGGAATTATAATTCATTTTAACTCATGACAAACACCTGTAACATACTAGTGACTCTCACCAGGTGGTTTCAGTAGCAGAGAACTCATCTGGAAGGAGTCTGTCTGCACTTACATAAACAGTGCCAGGCAGTTAATCTTCACTGGATAAGGACCAGAGCACTTCAGTCCTTAGTTTTTCTGTATGTGCACAGAACAAAAATATTACAGTGGTGTTGCAGTGCTCCTGCTCTGAACTGCATTCAGCAAATAGAGTGAGCTAAACTTGTATTGTTAAGAAGTGAAATATCTATGGCTGCTGCTGGAGGATAAAATTGCAGCAGTAACTCTATTAGTCTCTCTAATTTACCTTCAAGAACTGCATGGAGTAGCTTAATGACATCTGGTTTGCTGGTTAAACATGCAAAACTGAAACTAAACTTAAAGCTAAGCTGCTACATCCATGTGTCTATAAGTGGAGTTCTAAAATGCATCACACTGGGTGAACATGACTGTTCAACTGCACATTTACCAGTAATTGTACTGTCCCACCACTCAGCCATGGAGAAGAGCTGGAGTTTTTCACCCCTAGAGCACTGAAGGGTGGTGGAAGGCTGGGGCTCAGCCACAGCTGGCTGTGCAAAGCAGACTTGTGCTCTGTAAGGTCACTTAGTTAGGTCACAAGTTAGCTGTGGTGTCTGCACAGAGCCTCTCTGTGCCACATGGCACGTTCCAGCTGCACTCCATAGCATGAGCCTGCAGAGCACTGGAGTCTTGCCAGTGCCTCCCCTCTGGGAACAGGAAATCAGCAAGAAAAGTTTCCAGATGACCCAGCAAAGTGGGACAGCCTGTGTTCTAGAGGATGTCCACGAGCTGTGAGATTAAAGCATTTCTGACCCCAGCACTGATAGCAGGTTCTACTGCAAATGGCTGTCCTAAAATTCTTCTCCATGAGCACTGGCTTTCCAGCTAAACCCCTCATTTCATCTGGGTTTTGTCCAGTTTCCTGTGTATGCTGTCACCAGAACCACTGCATGAAAGACCTTGAGGTTGTTCACTGCAGGCCAGGGGAAGGACCTGAGGGACAGGGCTGAAATGAGGAATGTGCATGTCCCAGGGGCATCCGGTTTGAAATGTAGAAGCAAAAGTCCAAATGCACAAACTAGTGGAGAGTTGAAGCTTGCTGGTGAAAGACTGAGTCACAATGAAACCTTGTGTGGTTGTTTTCTCAAGTCAGCCTGGAAGTGTTGAATTGTTCCTGAATTAGTCAAATACTCACTTGCTGTTATTCAGACTCCAGGAGGATTTCCTGTCAGGAGTACAGGCAGGAGTCTTTTCTTTCTCTTCTCCTCTAAACAGTCCCTGTGCATATTCCCAAAGGCCCATCTGCTGAAACACATGTGGACGAGTCCAAGATTGATCCCTGCCGTGTTAGATCAGTCACTTGTGTCCTCCTGAGAGAGAACTCAAGCTGTGCTGCTGTTGTGTCTCCTGTGTGCCCTGCAGGTCAATCGGACGTACTGCTGCGGCACCTACCGAGCAGGACCCATGCGCCAGATCAGCCTGGTGGGAGCAGTGGATGAAGAAGTGGGGGACTACTTCCCAGAATTCCTAGATATGTTGGAAGAATCTCCATTTCTTAGAGTAAGCAGTAACTTGTGGTGTGTTCAGAGAATGCAGATATTTAAGCAATTGTTAGGTTTCTAAGTAATTAGAAACTGTAAGGTATTTCCTTTATTGATGTGCTTGTTTGGGCTACTGAGGTTCATTCTTTCCTGTGTCCAATTGAAGGGCATGGACTGAGGTGGCTAATTAAAAATAATCAAGTTTATTATATATACTTGCACTACATGCACTTTTACTTCCCTAAAAACTATGCTTGATAAAAATTAGCTTGGAATATCTTTTACCTCTCAAACTTACTTAGTTTCTATGCAGTTCTTTTACCAGCAGATTTGAACCAGTTTTACCAAAGGCATCATTTAATTTTTCTATCTCACCCAGTGTTTTGTGTTATGTGTGTTTTGTGGGTTGTTTTGTTCCTCTTTTCTTTTAGATGACTCTGCCCTGGGGGACTCTTTCCAGTCTCAGACTGCAGTGCAGGTCCCAGAGTGATGATGGGCCCATCATGTGGGTGAGGCCGGGAGAGCAGATGATCCCCACAGCTGATATGCCAAAATCACCCTTCAAACGGCGCCGGTAAGGTTTGGGTTTGCTTTTGTACTCGAGGTAGAACATTGCAGTTAAGGCTGTGTCAGATTTGAGAACAAAAGCAAAGTACTTGATGTGTAACTGGCTCTTCAGAGGACTAATTCAGATTTAAGTTTCACTTTCACTTTGTTTCAAATTGGCTCAGCTGATAAAGCAAATGTTACCCATGATGGTTATTTTATTTCACTGCTTCTGACAGTATCTTTCAGTACTTCTCACATAGCCTAGATCCGTGGTTTAAGATTAAAACCTCTTTTTATTATCCTGCAGGAGACTTAATTCATTTTATTTTGTGGCAAGAACCAATTTGGTGGTGAGGGCAGGTGGAATGCTGTAAAACAGCAGAGATCCTTCTACTGCTCCTGCTGCCTTCTGATGTCAGTGCTAAAGCATTTATAACATGTCTGCCCAGGAATTATTGTGTATTCTTGCTTTCTGTCTCTGAAAGAGTGCTCTAAAACAAATTTCAGGAGATTTGGAAGCATATTCTAATTGTCATTTCAAGAAGAATTTTTGGATGTGCTCCCAAATAACTGAAGTTTCTGTAAGATAACTCTATTTTACATGCTGGTACGTTCTTGGAGGAAGTCTTCCAGGACATGTGAACACAAAAATTTTGTGATTTGATTTGCTTTGTAACGTTTGGTCTTACAACTTGAATTGTACTTTGCTGGTTTTGTTTTAATCTTTCACCAAATCAACGCCTAGAAAAAAATCAGTGGGAAAGTACTTTGTTCCCTTGAAACCTGCAGCACCCAAAATTCTAAGATAATTTCAACACAAATACTAATTTCTGAGCAGCGGGGACATTTTTCATGTGCGTTTTTCTGCCGTGGCAGGTCCATGAACGAGATCAAGAACCTGCAGTACCTACCTCGGACCAGCGAGCCCCGCGAGGTCCTGTTCGAGGACAGGACCAGAGCTCACGCTGACCACGTGGGGCAGGGCTTTGACTGGCAGAGCACGGCTGCTGTCGGGGTGCTCAAGGCTGTGCAGTTTGGGGAATGGTGAGTGCTGCTGGCATGCAGCTGTTTGTTCTAAAAAATAAAGATATATATCCTTGCAAAATAAACCTCGTCGGGTTTCAGCCCGCTAATGAGACAACGGCTGGAATTGTCTGCCCAGGGTGGTGGTGGAGTCACTTTGTTTTTGAGAATAAAGCCTGGACGTGGCACTCAGTGCCATGGTTTAGTCAGTGAGGAGGTCTTAGGTCATAGCTGACCTTAAATGTCTTTTCCAGTCTAGTTAATTCTGTGATTCAAAAGTTGCACAGAGCTGAAAACCTCAGGCTGTGTACCTCCTGTTTTTCCATCTCGAGGCAGTAAAAAATTTGTAACAGCAACTTGCAGAGTATTTTAGTGATATACAAAAGCCTCAAACTTGGACCATCATCTTTGATTATTCTTTTTCTGAGCAGGTATATTAATTCTAGTTTTTGTGACTGTAGTCTAAGAGCTCAGTGTAATTAATTTCACAGCTGCAGTGCTTTCTCAGGTCATGGACCCAGGATATGGCTGTTGACCTTGCAGAGAAACTGGACGTTGCATCGTTGTAATGGCTAGAAATTACATTAGAAATTTGATAGCATCATTAGAATAAAATATGCCAATATTTCCTATACTGTTGAATAAAACTCCTCACTGCTTCAACTTCAGTGTTACTTTGTAATTTTTCATCTTTCCTTTAATGCAGAATTATTCTATGCAATTATAGAATTGAGGCAAACTGTGGTTCCTAGAACACAGAGAACTTTGATAGTGGCAGTTTGAACCTGGGTCTCAGGCTTTTCAGTGTACTGTCCGTGCAAACATCCCTTCTGTGGTGAATGCAGCAAAAATTGAGAAAGAAAAAAGGGAAATACATGAATTATACATATTTTTCAAAATAATACACTATTGAGAAGTGTTGAGACTTTGTGCACAGTGTAACACTCAATCAGGTCATTGGTTCAATGAAGCTTTCTGCTGGGAAGAGCTGGAATGCTCTGGAACTCAAATACTTCAAAAATTCCTGGAATTCTCTTTTTTTTTCTAGGAGTGACCAGCCTCGTATAACCAAAGATGTGGTTTGTTTTCATGCTGAAGACTTCACTGATGTTGTGCAGAGGCTTCAGCTGGACCTGCATGAACCTCCAGTGTCACAGGTATCAAATCTGCCCTCGTGGCAGCTCATTCCTGGTGTTTTGGGAGGAGTTTCTGACAGATCCCAGCTTCTCCCTAAAGTCAGCCCTTTTGTATCCCCTCAGTTCTCTTGGGTAAATTTCCTTGTGTTTCAGGATAAAATAGTTCAGTTGGAAGGGACCTTTTTCTTTTCCTTTCCCCCAAGCTGGGGTTCATGCTGTGAGTCCCAGGGTGTGCTATAGAAACAATCTGCTGATTAAGCCATGTGTGCCTGCTTCTGCTTTTTCTGATGTCTGATGTCTTCTTAGGCTGTGGAAGCATCTAAACTCAGTCCTGTCAGCCCAAGCAATGCAGCCCATTGTTATTTTTAGCTATAACTGTAGAAACCTCTTCATTCTCCTCTCAAGACATCAGAGAAATTGTATTTTTAAAGCCCACTTCTCATTTAAATTAGAAATTTTACCCATGAAATTGAGACATTCTGATTTGGACAAGAATTCACTTGACAACAGGAAGATGCAGAGTTTTTGAAGGGTTGGCACTAACTTTCCCATCTCTCCTTCTCAGTGTGTTCAATGGGTGGATGAAGCCAAACTAAACCAAATGAGACGGGAAGGCATTCGCTATGCTAGGATTCAGTTGTGTGACAATGACATCTACTTCATCCCTAGAAATGTCATCCATCAGTTCAAAACAGTGTCAGCAGTCTGCAGCTTAGCCTGGCACATCAGACTCAAACAGTATCACCCCGTGGGGGAGACTTCTCCAAAAGCAGAAAGCAATTCAAGCCTCAACAGTGATGTTCCTGGAAACACAGAGGCAGAAGGTGAACCCCAAGGTGTGAGTGTAAAAATAGAGTCTGAAGAACCAGGTATGGAAATTCAGCTTACCCCAGGGGTGCTCTCCTCCTCTGTTTCTTCAATATCAGGACTTGTGCAACCAGATCAGGTGGCCCAGCCCCTTCCAGGTTTTAAAATAGAGTCTGATCACCAACACAATCCACAGGATCATGCAGGCTCTTCTGTGTGATATGTATATATTCAAACATTTTTTAAACAACTTTTTAAAATTTTGATGTGAAGTTATAGTTTTATAACTGGCTTATGTTTTATTGGAGAAATCTTGCCTATAATTCTATAAAGAAAGGTGACATTCCAAAATGTCAAGCATATCTTTTTTACACAGATTATGCAAAATTCAAGTTGTATTTTAACCCCTTAGTACAACCTGTAACAGTGGTCTACCACTTCTTTCTGTTCAAGTAAAGAGATGTTGAATATCTTCTCAAAGTCAGATTGGAATTCCTCCAGGAATATGAAATGATTGAGCTCCATTGGTCAGTGTTATTTCCCTACTTTTACTTTATCTCTAATCTTCACCAGAAAGTGATGCTTTTGTAGAAGACTTGCAAAGTGATTTCCCCATCTTATTTTAATTGCTTAAAAAAGGGAAAAAAAAAAGAAAAAAAAAAAAGAAAGAAAAAAAATAGAGAAAGCACAGCACTTTTGATGATTTGTGGAATTTTTTGGTATGTCTGTTCTTGACATGTTGGTTTATATACAAGCTATAGAAATTGATGTTTCTTACAGTTCCTACAAGGGTGACCTGTAAAAAGAACTGAAGCAAGTGTCTGATTCCTGTTGAAATGCAATGACTTACTGACCTAACACTTCTCATAGCACTGCTTATGTTGTTTGGTGTGGGGGTTTTTGCTTCCAAAATACATCTTCCCTGAATGTGACAAATGCTAGTGTCAAAATTAGAGAACCTCTTGGTAGTCTTGTGGAGGAAACTGCTATCTTTGAGCACTTTAAGGCTTTAAAATACTTAACCAACCTGGCAGCTTGTTTTGATGGGGTCGTAACGTGTCCAATGGATCCACACTTTCCCTTGTACTGATGCACTTAATACAATAAGCATTGAGCTGATACCTGACTTCCTAGAATAAGGACAGCCTTACTGTGTAAGTTCTGTATTAGTATTTCACAATAAAAAGTATTTTGGCGTTGGACTGCTTTTTCCATGTGTAGCTCCTGGGTGCCCAGTTACTGTGGAAAAATCAGCAGCACGTGCTCAGTGTGTAGAGTGTCAGCTATCAACAGTTTTTAACCAATCTTTCAATATTTCTGGATGTTAACGTGTAACCTGTATTTGACTTTCACTCACCCCATTTATTACTGCCCTTTCCAGTCATCAAAAGGAAAAGTCCCTTTTCCCTCCCCCTCCCCACATTTAGAGTACAAGTTGGGGTTTGGTGCAACTTAAGCTGTCTCCAGATAACTTCATTTGTTCTAATCCTCACTGGGGTAGGAAAGATTTGAAACACTATGTTAGACTAGACAAAAGCAAAGATGCTGTGTTAGTTCTGGATGCATCTTTTTAATATCAATTATTACTCTTCTCTTTATAAGGGTCTCTAAAATATGTTACTCTATTATAAATCTTACTTTGTGCAATATTGTTTGTGTAGGCTTTTATATACATATTAGCACCTCAGTGTAGAGGTCACTATTTTAAACTGATAGAGAAATAATCCTCAGAAGATACTGCAGTGATTAGTTAGAACCTGTATTACTCCTTATGTGTATGTATGTATTGTCTTCGGTACAAAAATGAGGACTAGGAAATATTTCAATTTAAAACTAATTTACAGATTGAAGTGGTAGTGACTCGTTTAGTAATCTGTGTAAATAAGGTGTTAGAATGGAAAGCTTTTATGATGAGAAGTAATGTGATTCATGCAGGGGTGTAATTTAATCTTAGCAGAAATTCTAGATGACTCAGCGCGGCTCCGAGACGAGCCGTCAGTTCTCTGGTGGGTTTTTTCCACTTTTTACGTTGAGAGGAATTTCATAGCTTTAAGGGTTGTGCAAAGTAAAATTCCTCACAGGCAATAGTGGTTTCGGTTCATCCTTCACATTCAGAGATTCCCCAGGGGCGTTCTTTCCTTTTGACCGAGTCTGCGAGTCTTCCACGTGCTGCTCCCTGCCTGTCCCTGCCCCCAGGGTGGCCTTTCCCTGCAGCCAGCACTGATCACTCAGGAACTGTCACAGAGCAGAGAGCCCCCTGCACCAACCTGTCTGTTGGGAAAATTGGAGAATCCAATTTGAAAGAATCCATTTGGAAGTCCTCTGTAAATTCTAATGTACAAGTTTTCAAGTGGATGAGGCAAGACTAGGGTGGTCTGTGCTGCTTTCCAAGCTGTAGCTTTAGTGAAATCTGTGACAGCAGCCTGAAATAGCTGGAAAGTGCTCTGACTTCCTCTTGCATGGAGGGACGTGACCAGCAGCACCATGCTCTCTGTGCTCTGCTCAGTTTCTAACTGAAATCCTAATGTCAGATCTAAATGCACATAAATAAAGGTATCTTTGAATGACCTGAATGTTGCTGATGCTATTTTGGAAGACTGAGGGAGAGAGGAACAAGCTGTTTGTGAATCTCTTACTAAATCCATGCTCAGCTTTGCTGTGCTTTAACCAAACTGGCAGACTTTCAAATTCCACCTCAACTCTGGGTGTCAGGTGTGAGAGGGATTGCTTGGGAAGCTGCTCACTCTCCAGCCATTGCTTCAGTTGCCCAGAACAAAGCTTTGATGGGACAAATGCAAATGTTTTCCAGCCCAAGACCTGTAGAACACTGATTTTTTTTTTTTTATGAGCTTGAGCAGTTTAGAGAGGAAGTAACAAGTTCAGGCCATTTAGTGTTTGAGCAGAACAAATGCAGTAAATACTTCTGATTATCTCATGTTAAATAGCTGCTATTTGAATGTCTCCAAGATGCCATAAACGAGGCTCCTTAATGAGCTAATCACCTTTGATTTGATGTGATTTTTTGAGCCACATTTGATGGCTTGTTCTAAGGCTGAGAAGTTGGGGCTGCTCAGTTGGACCCTTCCAGGGTCTGCAGGGGCTACACTGGAGAGGGGCTGCTCATCAGGAGCTGAGTGACAGGACAGGGGCAATGGGTACAAATAAAAGAGGAGGAGTTCAGCTTAGAGGTGAGGAAGAAGTGAGATGGGTGGTGAGGATCTGGCTGCCCAGGGAGTCCATGGATGCCCCAACCTGGGAAGTTTTCAAAACCAGCTTGGGCAGCCTGGCCCAGTTGGGGCTGGATGATTTTTAAGGTCCATTCCAACACCTTCACTTTCTGTTACTCTCAGTGGAAAGCAGCTACAGAACAGTTCCTAAATACAAACGTGCTGGTCAGTCCTGCCAGTCCTCAGTGCTCCATTCATGAGCATCTGCTCTGTGATGTGTGCCAGGTAGAAAACACTCCAGCTTGGTGCTGGACACAGAACTGTCACTGACCAAGTGACACAGAACTGTCACTGACCAAGTGACACAGAACTGTCACTGACCAAGTTTTGTGACACGGAACTGAGGCTTAGGCTCGACTTTAAACCAAGTACTGGTGACTGAAAGATCTGGAAAGGGCTGGAGTGGCTGGGCTGTGCTAGGAGTGGGCTGGAAACTCAGCATGGAGCTGAGCTGGGGCTGCTTTGCTTCCCCCTGTCCTGCAGAGCAGCTCCAGCTCCCTGCAGCTCCCGCTGCAGCAGCGGGGACACCAAAGGGACACTTTCCACCGGGGCTCGGCTGTGCTCTGCCGGCTCCGCTGCGTGTTCCCGGGCTGCGGCTGAGCCTGGGCAGCCTGAGGGCTGGCACAGCAGCTGAGGGATGGCTCCGGGTGCCCCGGCTGGCTCCGGGTCCCCCGGCTGGCTCCCTGTCCCCCGGCTGGCTCCCTGTGCCCCCGATGGGTCCGGGTCCCCCGTTTGGCTCCCTGTCCCCCGTTTGGCTCCCTGTCCCCCGGATGGCTCCCTGTCCCCCGGATGGCTCCCGGTCCCCCGGATGGCTCCGGGTCCCCCGGCTGGCTCCCTGTCCCCCGGCTGGCTCCCTGTCCCCCGGATGGCTCCCTGTCCCCCGGATGGCTCCCGGTCCCCCGGATGGCTCCGGGTCCCCCGGCTGGCTCCCGGTCCCCCGGCTGGCTCCCGGTCCCCCGGATGGCTCCCTGTCCCCCGTTTGGCTCCGGGTCCCCCGGATGGCTCCCTGTCCCCCGTTTGGCTCCCTGTCCCCCGGATGGCTCCCTGTCCCCCGGCTGGCTCCCGGTCCCCGTTTGGCTCCCTGTCCCCCGTTTGGCTCCCGGTCCCCCGGCTGGCTCCCGGTCCCCCGGAGCCCTCCGAGCAGCGGCCAGGCCCGGAGCACCCGAAGCGCGGCTCTCCCGATCTCTCTGTACAACATGTAAAGACACCCACTCCTGTATTGCTGTTCCGTGGTTTCATTTGATTTGATTGGCAGCTACGATTCTTTTCTTCCTGTGGTTTTAATTTATCTAAGGTCTCTGCCTCCAGAGGACGTGTACAATTGCCTGGACGACTGTTTGCTTTGTGCGGCCTTAGTGTATTTATTGACATTTGTGCGGGGGCGGCCCGCGCCCCCCCGCGCTCTCGGTAGCTGACTGTACACCAGTGTCAAACTGTTAAGCTATTTCTTTGTAAAATAGTCCTGCGGAATGCATAGAATTTTTTTCCTGTAAAGTATTTTTTTAATAAACAAAAGTCTGATTTTGTCCTTTACCCGCCTGGCCGCTTCTTTTCCTCCGGGGGGGGTCGGGGCGGCGCTCGGCGCTCGGCTGGCGCTGCCTGGGTGGGTGTGGGGGCGCGGCAGGCGGAGCCAGCCGAGCGCCGGGCGGTTTCCAGGGTAACGGGAGCGGGGTCGGTGCCGGTGTCGGTGCCGGGCCCGGTGTCGGTGCCGGTCCCCTCGCTCCCCATGGCCTGCCGCGATGCCATTTCATGGTACCAGAAGAAGGTGAGTGCGGCGCGGGGCGGGCGGGCGCGGTGCCGGCAGTGCCCTCAGCCTCCTCTCCCCGCAGATCGGGGCCTACGACCAGCAGATATGGGAGAAGGCCGTGGAGCAGACCCAGATGAAGGTACCGGTACCGGGGAGGGGGAGAACGGGCCCCGCCGCGCCCCTCGCCGCTAACCCTGCCGTGTGTTCCGCCCCGCAGGGCTTCAAGAACAAGCCGAAGAAAAAGGGGCACATCCAGCCCGATCTGATCGACGTGGATCTGATCAGCGGTGAGCGGAGCTGGCGCTGTGCCCCCCTCTGGGACCGGGCTCACAGGAGGGGTGGCTTGGAGATCAGGAAGGGTTCTTCTTCCCGCAGGCTGCCCCGGGAATGGGCACAGGCTGCCGGAGCTCCAGAACGCTCCCAGGGATGCCAGGGTGGGATTGCTGGGGGTCTGTGCAGGGACTTGGCGATCCCTGTGGGTCCCTTCCAGCTCAGGGTATTCCCTGATTCTGCAGGTGCATCCCGGCTTTGTGGGGGAAGCAGAACCTGCCCTGCTGCCAGGGGAGCCCTGCTCGTGGGCACTGCAGACCTGAGAGCAGAGCAGGAGGAGTTTGGGTGGGCAGGGAAGGGTCAGAGGCAGAGCTCTGAGAGAACACAAGCAGCTGCTGCAGCTGCGTCTGCTGGGGCTCTGTAGCTTTGAATGGTGCCCAAATCTCACCCCCTGCTCAGCCTGAGGCAGGGCTGGGGCTGCCCAAAGGGGATCTCCAGCGAGGGAGCTCTTGTGATTCACAGTTAATGATGGCTCGTGTCCCCTTTAATTCCAAGGCTCTACCTTTGCCAAAGCCAAGCCTGAAATTCCCTGGACATCGCTGACGAGGAAGGGAATTGTGAGAGTGGTGTTCTTCCCCCTGTTCAGCCACTGGTGGATACAGGTCACGTCCCAGCGTATTTTTATGTGGCTCTTGGTGCTCTACCTTATGCAAGGTGAGGGAACACCATGAGGCTGTGCCATGAACCTTCTCCTGCAAGGAATGGCACATCAAAGAATGCTCTTGGGGAATGGGTTAGGGGTGAGCCTGGCAGTGCTGGGGGAGTGCTTGGGCTCCATGGCTCAGAGGGCTTAGCCAAGCTTAGTGAGTCTGTGATTCTGCAGTCCATAATCTAAAGCCTGAGGATCTTGTCTGGAACCTACTGAATGTGCATTTCAAGGCGCGTGGCACTAGTAACTGCAGGAATTAAATAATAACACAACAAAGCAGAGTAAAAACAGTTGAGACAGACTTTTTAATTTTTGCCTCGGTGCCATTTCCCCCTTTGCAGTGGTAGCAGTGGTGCTGTACTTCCTGGTGCCTGCTGTGAGTGCCAGTGAAGTGATGGGACCCCTGTGCCTGATGCTGCTGCTGGGGACAGTTCACTGCCAGATCGTGTCCACGCAGGTGAACAGAGCTGCAGGGAGCAACGGGCTGAGCCGGCGCCGCAGGTGAGCTGCAGCAGGGCCCTGGGGCTCAGCTGCACAGCTGGCACAGCTGGCACTGCATCCAGCTGGCACTGCATTCACCTGGCACTGCATCCACCTGGACAGCTGGCACTGCATCCACCTGGCACTGCATCCAGCTGGCACTGCATCCAGCTGGACAGCTGGCACTGCATCCCACTGGCACTGCATCCACCTGGCACTGCATCCAGCTGGCACTGCATCCAGCTGGCACTGCATCCAGCTGGACAGCTGGCACTGCATCCAGCTGGCACTGCATCCAGCTGGCACTGCATCCAGCTGGACAGCTGGCACTGCATCCAGCTGGCACTGCATCCAGCTGGCACTCTGGCACTGCATCCAGCTGGCACTGCATCCAGCTGGCACTGCATCCAGCTGGCACTGCATCCAGCTGGCACTGCATCCAGCTGGCACTGCATCCAGCTTTCCTCCTTCAGCTTGCTGCAGCAAAGACTCCCTCCAGATTTTGTCCCTTGTGCTTTTCCCAGTGATGCCCTGACGTGCTGGGGGTGTAGGCAGAATTTTTGTACTGGAAGTCAGTGTTCTGCATGGCTGCAGAAAAATGGCATCCAAAAAGCCATTTGAATGGTGCCTGAGTGGTGCCTCCAAAAAGCCATTTGAATGCTGCCTGTACCTGAATGGTGCTGTTCAAATCTCATTCAGATCTTTTAAAAAAGACCTGAAAGTAGCTTCTTACACCAACTTAATCCTCCTTGTCTTCCAACTCAGGAAGTTGCGCAAGGCTGCGGGTGCGGATGGGAGCAGTTGGTGTTCTCCTGACAGAACCAGCAAGGAGGAGCAGTCTGGCTCTGCATCTCTGCTGACCAATTTATCCAGCCTGCTCTTCCAGAGGAGGTACGTGGTCCCTGCTGGGTTTGTGCTGCTCGTGGCACTGGGAGCAGTTTGGTAGCTGGAGAATGAAGGCACAGCATGTGCTGTCACTGACATCCCCACTGCCTGCCAGTCTTTTTTTGAAATTAAAAACCTTTGTGGTAGTGTGGGAAGCTGATTCCTCAGGAATATTTAGTATGTCTTTATTAGATCATATAAAATTAGCCTGTATAAAATTAGATCATGTGAAACCAAGTGTTAGATGAGCTGCAGAATGTGGTGCAGTTTATTTTTATTTATCAGATAAGTGACCTTGTTTGAGAGAGTGCTCAGATTATATTGCTGCTTTAGGTGATTTCAAAAAGCAATTTTGCCTTCTGTTTTGGACAGTTGTCTCACTTTGGCACCTTGCTTCTCTAAAAGTAACTCAAGGAAAAAGAGGAGAGATTGTATGGGATAATATTTCATTGTTTTCTCCTGTTCTCCCAGGTGAATTTCCTGGTGAGTTTCCAGCTCACAGGTGCTTTCTCTTCCTGACGACTTTTTGTTTTCTGAATTGCTCTTATTTTTTAAAAAAATAAAAATAATGAAAAATTTCCACTTGATTTGGAAGTTTTAAGATACTATTAGAGTTACAAAACACATGTTGAGCGAGGGTGAAGCAGATATAAATCTTTTAACAGACTCAGCACACAAAGCCTGTCAGCCAAAGGAAATTATTTATCCCTTAGGTATCTTGTTTGATGCTGCACCTGTGACAAGGGAAGACCAGATTGTTTTACCCCAAAGAGTTTTTCCCTGACATAAAAGCATTTAATTGTATTTTCTCTCCTAGGAATAGAGGAGTAAAGCTGGTAGCTGAGAAAGGGACTGAGACAGAAAGTGGTGTGAGTGCTGTGGGTGATGGCATCAAACCCAGACAGGCCAGATCTGAGCACAGGCTGCTGCACTGCAAAGAGAAAAGTAAACTTTCTGATGGGGAGAAGAGCCATCAGGTACTGCCAGGGGAGATCCTTTGAAATCACAGTTTCAGTGTGTTCTTTGTGTGCCAGAAGTAAGTGTGTTCATATTTAACTGAATGGTTTGGTCTAATACAAGATATTCCCTCCTGCTAGTCTTTGCCTGCATTAACCTAGAAACCCCTTTCTGCCTCTCACTGAGCAGCTGAAAAGGTGCTGGTGCTTTCTTTTCATAATTATAGAATTCAATTCCAGAATAGTTTGGGTTGGAAGGAGTCTTAAAGCTCATCTCATTCCACCCAGGGACACCTTCCCCTATCCCAGGGTGCTCCAGCCCTGGGTCAAACACAGGCAGTGCTGGAGTGTCTGTTTTACCAGAGTGCTCTGTTAATTGTTGACACTTCTGATCAATTAAGGGACAGTGCTGATAATGACTAAATAAATTAGCCATTTTCAAAAGCAGTTTCATAAAATATTTTGTCTTACAAGACTGAGACATCCCTTGAGGAGAGAGAAAGAGCTAAAGCATCGTGAGCTCTGCTGAAAGCTTTGAAACATAAAGATTTTGGCAATTACTCTTGAGTTTTCTCTGGGCCAGCGGTGTGTCAACTCCACATGAAGAACTTGGAATAGATCCTGTGTGGAATTGTGTCATACTGTGCCATCCCACCTGCTCTCTGTGAAGGAGTTTGGATGGGGCAGAGCTCGGTGCAGGGGCACAGCCCCAGATTTTGGCTTTGTTACCCCCCAGCTCCTAGATACATCTGGGCTTAAGGCACAGCCAAGAGCTGCTGCTGCATCCTCCTCCTCCTGCCTTTTCCAGCTCCAAATCCACCCACCCAAAATTCTCTCTCATTACCTCTGGGGCAAGACAAGAGTGGGAGGAAGGAGTTAATACCTGTGAAGTCTCTGATGCCAAGAGAATTCTGTTTCAGTGGGGATGATGTGCTGGCTCTGCAGGCACTGAGGGCTGTGCCAGGGGGGCAGCTCTGCCTCTGAGCCTTGGGTGGGACTCAGGCTGGTGCTTGGGTGGCCTTGGCTGTGCATTTGTAGGATGATGGCACCACCAGGGACGGTGCTTCTGACGAGCTGTCGAGCGAGGAGGATGCTGAGGATGCTGAGGATGCTGAGGGCCTGGCACAGAGGATCCTGCTACGGCCCAGCATGGAAGGGGCTTCCAGTGACAACAGCTACGAGGAGAGGAAGAAGAGGCCTCTGCTTTCTCTCAACCAGGCTGTCTCACAGGTACCCAGGTGGGATTAGTGCTGTTCTCCACACCTGGTTTTGCTGTGGATAATGAGGAGGTTTTCCTTTGGTCTTGGCAGGTCAAGCAAGCCCTGAAAGCTGCCAGAGACTCTGACAGTGTTGTGGAGTCTGAACTGGAATCCACATTGTACAGGCAGGTATGGTTGTAAAGTCAGGAGAGGGAGCTTTCCCAGGCCTGGCAGGGGTCACAGAATCAGAGGGTGGGTTGGGCTGGAAGGGACCTTAAAGCTCATTTCATCAGTTATGAAATGATTGTGCTTCAGAATCCTCAGGTGCAAGCTGTGACCTCTTCCCTCCCTGCTGCTTGGCAGCCTTGTAAACCTTCACAGTGTTCACAATCCTGATTGTGCTGCTTTGTTAAACAAACCACAAACAAACAAACAAACAAACAAATAAGTAACTCTGTTGGCAGCAAGGGACAGTCCAAGCTGCCTCTAATTGCTCCTGCAATTGCTCTTGTGGTTGGGAGGCAGTGCTGTGCTTGCAGCTTTTAAGCTAATAAATTTTGATTTTAAAATCACAGACTATCCTGAGTTGGAAGAGACCCACGAGGATCAAGTCCAACTCCTGTAATGAAGGAATAAATCTGTTCTGTGAGACATACTCAGTCACTTCATCTACTTTGGTTTTTTGCCCCTACCCAAAAACAAAATATGAATATGTGAATATCAAGTTATAAATATGAAGATGTATAAATGAATACAAAATATAAATGAAATATTAAAACATATTACGCAAAAGACATTAAAATGAACATTTTTGTATTAAAATGACTACATCAATTTCTATTTTGTAGGTTGGGGACGGAGGCAGGGAATTATAGGGCTCTGTGTGAGTTCTGGTGTAGAAACGCTTTTTCCTCAAACCATTGTCTTAAACCATTCCCACCGTGTGGGTGCGACTGGGAGCACTGAAAGCTGTGGGAGAAGGAGCAGGAGGATAATGAGGAGGAGGAGCAGGAGGATAATGAGGAGGAGGAGGAGGAGGAGCTGGCTGTAGCAGCCGCGGCGGGGCTGTGACCTTTGCGCTGCCGCAGGACCCCAGGTCGTGCCTGGGCGTGGGGCCCCGGAGCTGCAGCGGGAGCCGGCGGGACTCGGAGAGCACACGGCAGGACTCGGAGACCGAGGACATGCTGTGGGACGATCTCCTGCACGGCCCCGAGTGCCGCTCCTCGGGCACCAGCGACAGCGAGGAGCGCTCCCGCAGGGACTCCCGCAGGGACCTGAAGGAGGACGTCTTCCAGCAGGTTGGTGATTTCCATCCGGGAGCTGGGAGTGCTTCTCCCTCTTGCCCCTGTTTTCCCAAAAGTAGGATGCTGTTGGTGTGAGGTGAGCAGCCTGGATGAAGCCAGAGTTACAGTGGAAATCTGGATTGCTCGAAATTCTGTCAGTGGTTGATGCTCGAGTCTATCCCTCCCTTCTGCCTGGCTGCTTATCCCAAAACAAAGCATTTAACCCAAAGTGGAATTTCCCCCTCAATCCAAATGTGCTCTAGGCAAAGGTGTTGCTTACAGCAGGCAGAAAGAGCTGACCCAGCTTTTGCACTCCTGTCTTTTTTCTAGAACCATCTGTTTTGGCTGCAGAACACCAGCCCAGCGTCTGCCAAAGTGAGTGCTCTGATCTGGGAGGGGAATGACTGCAAGAAGGTGGACATGTCCGTGCTGGAGATCAGTGGGATCATCATGAGCAGGGTAAGGGGGCTGTGTGGCATTGCAGCTTCTCCCTCCCACTTCAGAAAACAGCCACCAAAACCCCTGGAAACAGCTACACGTGCAAATATTATTGGTGGTGTGGAACTGGTCCCTCCCCAGCTGCAAAGATGCTTGTCCCACGTGTTCTTACTGAAAAATTGCCTTAACCCCCAATTTAGGAGGTCTTTTGAAAGACTGACAAGTGCTAATTATCACTGATTGTCTCTGCAGGGTGCTGAAAGTGGGGGGTTGATTATTTGGCTGATTGGTTTTGGGTTTGGACTGAAATGGGTGGAATTATTTTAGGCTCTTGTGAAGGGAAGGGAGACCAACTGCTTGCCACAACAGGCCTTTTCCTTGATGCATACCCCAAGTAATCATCCCATTTTTATTTCTGCTTGCCAGGTTAATGCCCACCAGCAAGGAGTGGGGTATCAGATGCTGGGAAACATCATCACCATCGGATTGGCCTTCCTGCCATTCCTCTACAGGCTGTTCCGCACGGACAGCCTGGAGCAGCTCTGCTCCATCTCTCTGATGGAGCTTCTGCACATCTTCTGTGGAGCCCCTATCAGCACCTCTGTGCTCATCCTGTCTGCCATCAACTTTCTGGAAAGGCTGTGCTTAACCTGGATGTTTTTCTTCATGATGTGTGTTGCTGAGAGAACATACAAGCAGGTGGGTTTAAAGGTGCTGGTGCCTCTCAGGAGCCTGGAGAGCAGGAACAAAAATGGGATGATGATCTTAGAGCTCATCTCATCCCAGCCCTTGCCAAGGTCAGGGAGGGGAGTCTGGGAAGGTTCTTATTGATCAGTCACAAATTGTACCTATCAATAGCATTCCTGACTCCCCTGTTCCCCCCTTTACCTGTCCCCAAGGTCTTACTGTGTCCCTTCTCTGCTGTGGCTGCCCCATCCCTGGAATTCTTCAAGGCCAGGTTGGACAGGGCTTGGAGCAGCCTGGGAGAGTGGAAGGTGTCCCTGCCCATGGCAAGGGCTGGAAAAAGATGAGCTTTAAGGTCCCTCCCAATACAAACCAATCTGGAACTCTATGAAAACTGCTGCTGCAGAGGTTGAGCACCCAGGTCTCGTGCTGACCTTCCCCAGTGTCCCTTTTTGCCAGGTACCACTAAGAATCCCAAGCAGTCTGTTCTGTTTTCCACTAATTGATTGTTCTGTTTTTTACTTGCAGAGGTTTTTGTTTGCCAAGCTCTTTAGTCACATCACATCTGCTCGGAAAGCCAGGAAATACGAAATCCCTCACTTCAGGCTCAAGAAGGTGGAGAACATCAAGATCTGGTTATCCCTTCGCTCCTACCTGAAGGTGAGTCCTGAAATGGGGTTTGGTTATTGCAGAGGGGGTGCCAGTGGCAGTGCCAGCTGTTTGTGGTGAGTGTTGCCTGCACACCACACTCAGCCCTGACCCTGTGTCCTTGTTTCTGCAGAGACGAGGCCCCCAGAGGTCTGTGGATGTTGTGGTGTCCTCAGTCTTTTTACTGGCTCTTTCAATTGCTTTTATCTGCTGTGCCCAGGTGAGATTTTAACCTTGGTGGTTTATAAAGTAGGGAGAACCCTTCCAGGTGCTGGAGGCTTTTCTTTCCCCAGCCTACAAAAGGCTTGGCTGAGAGTGCCAGAGGGACAAGGAAAAACACTTCATGCCTGTTAGTTGGACAGAGGGAGGGGAGAGGAGGAACCTTTCCTTTTCTGAGCAGAAGGAAAAAATATCCAATTCCAAGCTAAAGGCAGGTTAGAAATGAGACCTTTCCCTGTAACCCCATCACAGGAGTGATTTACACTTCCTGGGAAGAGCTGTCAGTGGCTGTGGAGCACACAGGGCTGGGCAGAGGAGGCAAGAAGGCCTCTCCCAAGAACAGGCACTTTGTCAGTGACATTTGGTGCTTTGTTTTCTCCCCATGCAGGTTCTTAAGGGTCACAAAACCTTTCTGAGTGCAGCTTACAACTGGGAGTTCCTGATGTGGGAGGCAGCACTGCTCCTCTTCCTGCTACGTCTGGCATCTCTGGGCTCTGAGACCAACAAGAAATACAGCAACATTTCCATCCTGCTCACTGAGCAGGTAGCTCCCTTCAGCTTGTTCTCCCCTGGGCTTTGTGCTTTGTTTGGATATAATTATTGTATTTCAAACCAGCTTAAATACTGGAATCAAATTTAAATTGTAGGGATCAACCCTTGTGTTGGCCAGAAGGCAACAAAGCACTGGGCAGCATGGGGGGATGAGCTGGTCCTGGTGGGCCAGACTCAAGCTCCAAAGTTCTAGATTATTGTGGTCTCTGGGTTCATGTGTGTTAGCCAAAACTATTGGAAAATAATGATGATATCAGTGGTAAATTCACTACCTCAGGAGTGACAGCAGACTGCAAAAATGGCTCCAACTTCCCTTAGTTAGGAATCAGTTGGGGGCTGGTGCTGGAATATCAACCCCTGGCCTGTGATGTCTGTCACAGATAAACTTGTACCTGAAGATGGAGAAGAAGCCAAACAAGAAGGAGCAGCTCTCTCTGGTGAACAATGTGCTGAAACTGTCCACAAAGCTGCTGAAGGTGAGGTGCCCTGCCTGAATGGCTGGATTTCCTGGCAGCAGGGGGTTATGGCAATGCCATGTGGCCCTGCCCTTCCCTTGGCTCTGAGCTAGTGCTCACAAAGGGGGATTTTTCAGTGCTGCTGCAGCTGTGACAGGAGAGGGAGCAGCACAAGCCCAGTGTGGGTAATTAGTGCTGGGAACTCTTGATGAGCAGTGGTTTAATTAAGAGAGCATAGGCTGGGGTGAGCACAGCTTCTGACTGCTCCAGTCTTGTTTCCCTTCAGCAGCTCTGATGCTGCAGCTCACTGCCAGCAGCAGGGAGAGGTTTGGGAAGGAGTGAGCAGAGTCTGGGAGTCCACGGGCTGGGCTGGGTGATTCTGCAGCCTGAAGTGTCAGGCTCTGGGATTGCTGCAGAGCCTTTGGATTCAGCAGGAGATGTCTCTGGAACACTGCAATTCCATCTCAGGAAGGACACAGAGGCAGCCCAGTCTGCTGGAGTGCCAGTGCTAAGCTGAGAGTCAGAGGATGAATTCTTTGGTGTGGGGAGTGCTGATGGACCCTTGTCCTGTCACTGCAGGAGCTGGATAGTCCATTCAGGCTCTATGGGCTGACCATGAACCCACTGATCTACAACATCACACGGGTTGTCATCCTCTCTGCTGTCTCAGGAGTGATCAGTGACCTGCTGGGATTCAATATCAGAGTAAGTGTCCCAGAGTAAGTGTCCACCTCTGCCTCACAGCCCTGAGAGAAGCCTGGCTTTGCACTGGGACAGACCCCAGAAGGTGCTGGCTGTGTCCCCACCTCCCTGAGCCAGTTCTGGGGGGAAGGACAGGGCTCACTTCAGTTCCAGTTCCCTTCAGGTGAAGCTGTGGGAGTCCAGGGTTCCTCCCTTCATCCCAGTCCTGCTGTGGCTCATCCTGAAACTGGAGCTCACTGAGCAGAGCAGGATGGGCAGGAGACACAGAATGTTACTTGGAGGTGAAGACCATTCCTGTGAGACCCAATCTCCCTTTCTTGTCTCTTTGCAGTTATGGAAAATTAAACCATGAACTGCTGGGCATCTCCACCAGACACCAGAGAAGAGAACCAGCAGTGTGGGCAGAAAGAAGAAAACTGACAGAAATCTGTAATTCCAATTTTTAAACAGATTCCCAGTGTATGCATCAGCAGTTTTCTTTCTGCTTTACTGCTCTACAACATCCAGAGTGAACTGTTCTCATCAGGGATGTCATCCCATGGCATGCACAGAAAAACTGCATCAATGGGGCCAAATCCTGGCAGCTGAACCAGCAGCACCTGCTGAGGGACACCAAACACTAAAGCCATGCAAAGCTGCAGCTGGGGGACACCAGTGGCTGTGACTGGGGCCACGTTTCTGTCAAACTGGGCCCTGGGCACGTGGCAAGGAGGGACTCAGCCCTCCTGGCCCAGTCAGCCTTCCTGGGGCTGCACTGGAATGTTCCAGGTTGGGAATCCTTTGCTGCACTGACCTGGCTGTGCTGGAGAGCTTTTCTTTCCTCAAAGCTCTGTGTGCTCAAGGCTTTGCCTCCATCCTGAAGCACCCCAGGATGCACCAGGAGAATTCCCCTTCCCTGCTGCCAATCCAGCAGCACCCAAATCCTGCTGGTGGCTTGGGCTGGGGCTGCTGCAAAGAAATTATTGAGGACAGTGGTTACAGGAGAAAAACCTTTCAACATGCTGCAGGCAAAGCTTTGATGAGCTGGAGAATGTTTTGCCACGTCTGTTCCCTGGAATTCTCAGCTCCATCCTGTCCATGGTGTGAGCAGCTGCTGCAGCCCAGCACTGTGACAGAGCCTCACCCTGAGCACCTGGGCAGGAAATCTGGGGGAAAAAACAGCAAAGACTTCCTCAGGTTCATGTTTAGAAAGGTCGTGGAGAGCAGGAAAACATCTGAAGGCTTCTGTAACATTTCCCTTCACTGGCTCTAATGGCTTCTATTTATTAGTGGTGAAAAGAGCAAAAACTGAGGAACTTCTCATTCCTTCACAGGAGGCTGAAGTGGCAGAAGAATTTTTGCTAGTAAATTGTTTACAGCTATTTTCTGTGCAAGGAAAAGTTGTGAGAGGTGAAAGGAGGTGACATTTTTATATAGCAAAAAGTGCAAATAAACCTGCAGGACAAGCACTTCATCATTACCAACGGTTTCTACAGCACTTGATGATTTTTATAAGATCTTTTTGAACATCTGTTACTGGAATGGGGGGGATCAAGGAATCACCCAATAATAAATTGCATTTGTTTTCCAGAACAGCAGCATGTTTGTGGGTAAACCCTGGCTCACAGCCCTGAAAGCCAACCAAGACCCTGGTTCAGACAGTGCAGAACCAACAGGCACGAGCTGGAGTTGGGTTTTCAGATCTGTGTAAAAATCATGAGTGATTTTCAGGTGTGTCTCCAGTCAGAGTCTGAGTGAAGGTGCTGTGCAATAGATAAATATTTACAGCCAGCACATCCATTCCAAGGCCACGTGGATGCAGGAAACACAGAGGAAGGTTTCGGGAAGGGGAAATCCCACCCAGGTAGGATCTGTGGTTCTGGTTTTGACTCTTCCAATGCCGTTCTATTTTATAAATATGTGGTTTTGTTTTTCACTTATTTTTGCTTTTTTTGCAGTTCTTTGTGCTGCAGGTGTTTGGTGTTTGTTATGGAGAGGCGGTAGGAAAAGGTTTTGTCCCCCAATTTGCATATGCAATAGAATATTTGCATAATTGCTCGTTAATAATTATTCTTCAGTGCTCCATATGGGAGTAAGGGGGGTGGAGAATAATAGTAATAATATGAGAGGTGTTACTCCAGTCTGGAACACTATTTATGGGCTTTATGCACTATAAATAAAAAGAAGACAAATAATAGCGTCTGGTGCAGAAAATGCCACGCTGCCTGCAGGCAATTTTTAATTTATTTAATTTATTTCATTCTAAAAGTCTGAACAGAAACAGTTCCTGTGTCAGACCGAAGCAACCACTTCACCGGACCTAAAACACCACAGGACAGGCGAGGGGGATCCAGGGCGGGGATGAAACCGCGCCGCGAATTCCCTGGAAAAGCAGAAATCCCAAAATCCCAGCAAATGTCATTCACCCCCCCGCAGGAGCCGGGTGGTGCCGCCCCGCGTCCCCCCCGCGCCCCCCATGGTCTCTCCCGCCCCTCCAGCGTAGCAGGCCCCGCCCCTCCGTGCGCGTCACTGCCGTGCCCGCCTGCGATTGGTGAATCCGCGACGCCTCGCGCGCAGCGGCCAATGGCGGCGCCGGGCCCGCCCGGAGGCAAGATGGCGGCGCCGCGGGCTGCGGGCGGGCGGGCCTGAGGCGGCTGCGGGGGCCGCGCCTTCCGCTCCCCGCTCGCGGGCTGGCCGGCCCGCCGGGCCCGCCCCGCCCTCCGCCATGGCGGCCGAGAGCGGCAGGCAGTTCTGGAAGCGGAGCGCCAAGCTGCCGGGCAGGTGAGCTCCGGGAAGGGGTGCGAGGGCCGCGCCCCCCGCGCTCCGGCTGGGGAAGGGGCTGGCACCCCGGCTGCCGCTGGGCTGGGGGTAGCCCTGTGGGGCTCGGGGGTGCCAGGAGGATCTGTCCCGGCTGAGGAGCTGGCTGGGGGGCCCGGGGTTCCTGCCTGGAATGGGGGGATGCCAGCGGCACCCCAGGCTGTGGGACGGGAATTTTGCCGTGGAAGGCTCAATGCGTGAGGGACAAGGGGAGGGTCAGAGCTGCTCCCGCATCTGTGGGACAAGGCAGGCGGTGTGGGGGCTGCGGGGACCCCTGTGTGCCCCCCTGGAAGCAGGATGGAGCGATCGGGGTGCCTGGGAGGCCTCTTTGGGGTAGGCTCAGAGCCGGGGCTGTGCCACCTCCCTTTCCACAGATTCTGAAGAAAACTCATCCTTCCCGAAGTCCTGAGAGGTGGCGCCTTGGGGGGCAGCAGCTCTGTCCCAGAGGGTGTCCCTGCTCACACACGGAGCCCCCCGTCACCCTGTCCTGTGTGGGGTCACTCCTGGTCCCCTCTGCTCGAGGGAAGGACTGTGAGGGCTCCCCTCGTGCCTCCCTGCCTCAGTTCCTCCAGCTCTGATGCCCTGGCTCCTCTCAGGGATGGGAGAATCGAGTGAAATGTGTGATTGACATGGTATTTAGGGAGAAGAGGCTGGTGCTGATGAAGGAGAGGCTCCCTACAATGCCTTGGGAGCAAGGCTGACATGGGAACAGGGCATCAGGCTCTCTGTGGAGGCTTCTCAAGTGCTTTTCCTGCCTGCTGCTCCTCACTTCTGCTCTCATTTGCCTTATCTGAACCCTGCCCTTCGCCTCCTGGGGTATGGGTGCAGTCTGAAATGCTTAGTTGGTTTTAAATCCTGCTGGGCCAGTTAAATATCTCTTTTTAAAGTGTTTTCACCCATCTGCTCATCACTGTGCAGCTCCTTCAGGCTGGCTGGACAGCCCATGTCTGTGGTGAGCAGAGGGAGAGCGAGGAGAGGAGGAGAGACTCTCCTCCTCTGCTGGCCCTGTGGGAGGAAAATCCTGGCCTTTCCCTGGGTTGTTTCCCAACTGCTCCTGCCCCTTACCCGAAGGTGTCAGCCAGGCTCTCAGCAGGGTCGTGGACAGCACCTCTCTTCTCCTCTGGGTGATTTCTGAGCTTTGCCTTGGAAGCTCGAAGCCGGGGAACCGGTCTGGCCAGCAGCCGGGCCTGCCCCAGCCGCTCTGCAGGGCAAGGTTTTGGCAGTGCTCTCCCTTCTCCTGCCTGCCTGGCAGGTATCCTGCACCAGGAGCCTGCTCACCTCCTGAGTGCTGCTTTTTCCAGGGACAGTCACCAACAGGTCTTCAGCAGCCTGGCTCTGAGGGTGGAGGTGGGATGTCCTGCATCCGTGGCCACCAGACATCACCCTCCCTTTCTTCTTTTTAGCCTGAGCTTTGAGAGACCCTCCTGTGCAGATTCTTGGCTCTCTCCTTTCTTTCCCCTGACAATCTGGCAGAGGGAGGCTTTGTAGGGACTTGGATACTGTGTTAGCTTCCCTTTCCATGACACTTTGTGCGTTTGGTCACTTAGTTGTATTAGCTTTTATTTGTTAATAAACTTTATTAGCTTTTGGTCCCTGTAGATTTAGGATGGATTTTAGGTGTAAGTTTAGAACTGGTAAATGCTGCTTTGTTTTTCCAGTGCTGTCTCGTGGCTTTTTGCACTGGGAATTCTCTGCCTGGTAATTTTCTAGGGATGTGTTGGCTGAGTGCTCTGGCATGTTGTCCTCTGTGATGTGTTGTTTATTCCCTGCTCTTTAGAGAGATGGGCAGCCAAGGGTTATTTAAATGCTGTTTTAGAAGGGGAGAATCAGCCTGCTGGAAGTAAAGGTGTTGTGTCCAGAGGGGCAGTGGTGTTTCATGGCTGTGCTCTGCTGCAGTGTCAATAACCCACACCCTGTGATGATCCTGGAGGTGTCACACAGGAGATTGTCCCTCACACACTGGTCACTGGACATCCAGGGAACAGGAAATGCCTGTCCCAAAGAGTTTGAACTGGGACAGAGCTGGGGACTCATCCAGCCAGGCTGGGAGCACAGCTTAGATCAGCTGGAGATTCTTCTTGGGGAGTGTCTGGCTTGTCAGACTTCCAAAAGCGCTGTGTGCAGGTGGGACCCCCTGCCATTGCATCAAACACTGATTCAGACCCCAGGAAAGGATTTCCTCCCCAGCACTGGCTGCCACATCCCCTCCTCTCTCTAACACACATTGGAATTGTGAAGTCCAGGTGAACCAAAGCAGTTCCCCTGTGGCAGCCTGTGGGTCCCTGACAGGGAGGAGGAACCTTGGCTGGATATCCTGGGACACTGTGAGTTTGGCCATGGGAGAGGCTCTGCTGGCTCCTGTCCTGCAGGGAGCTGCCACAAGTCACTGGGAAGCAATGCTGATCTGGAGGGCTTGTTCTTCTTCCTCCTCATCATCTCTTTGCTATGTCAACCCGTGGAGGTGCCTCTGCTTAATTGCAGTCCTGACTTCCAGGTGCTCATTAGTCATCACCCTCTGTCCTAGGCTTAATCCTCGATGGATAAACTCAGTGAGGACTTCCAGCCTCGAGGGACAGCCACTGCAGTGGTGAGCCCACCCCTGCCTGGGCTGCTCCTCCAGGATCTCTCTGTGCTGTGGCTGTTTCCAGCCTCTTCCCTGGCTCTCTGCATCTCTCCCCTGCCAGCTGGACCTGTTGCTTTTGCATCCTCAGCTTGTTCCCAGCTGCACCAGGCTGCCATCCCTCTCCTCCATGGCTGGGCCTGCTGGTTTTACTGCCGGGCACCATCTGCAGCTCCTAGAAACCAGGCCAGCTCTATTGACCCAAGAGAAGCTTGTTCCTTGTGTGCCAGCTCTGAAAGGGCCTTTGTCTGTGCCATGGCATTGCAGGACTTGTTTTCCAGAGGTTGTTTTCCAGGGTGGGGTGGCTGTGAATAGTTCCTCCAATGCAGGTGATAACTCAGAATCCCTGTCTCACCTCCAGAGTCTGTAAAAACAGTGATGAACTTTTTTTTTAGTAGCTCCTCTCTGAGGTGATGCTCCCCTTGTAGGGCCTGGAGCCCTCAGGCTCCTTGTCCCAAGGAACCAGGGACCAAAACGTGGTGACTCATTTCAGGCCACATAGGAAGTAATTGATTAAACCAGGATTTGGACCTGAGTTCAACCATGTCCTGTACCAGGAATTCCTTCTCCGTGGCACTGGCTGTGATCCTGAGAGCCAGCATGGGCTTCAGACCCTGGAGTTTCATGGAGGAGCCCCAGTGTCACTGCCTGGAGCCCTTCCCTGTCCTGGGGAGGGTGAGTTCCCCAAACTGGAAAAGAGAACAAATGGCAGTGTGTGCAGCAGGTAGACTGAGACACCTGGACGTGTGCAGGAAAGAGCAGATCTCAAATCCCAGCTCAGGCTGGACCGGGCCTAAGAGTTTAACCAAGGCTTCTCTTTGCTACTGCAAAGAACAAATCTTCATCTGCATGTGGCACTTTGGATCTAAGGCTTGTAAGTTAGAAGGTTTTTGAAGCTGCTTTTGGGCTTTCATTCAGCTCCTGATAGCAGGCAAGAAGCATGACCCCAGTTTAGGCTGAGATGATTTGTAGGACCTCTTTTTACAGCACCTTGGATTTTTTCTTTTCCCCTTGCTGCAGCATTCAGCCTGTCTATGGAGCACAGCATCCTCCGCTGGATTCCCGGCTCACCAAAAAGTGAGTGTTTGTCTCCTGGAGATGCAGCACAAGGCCTGGCAGCTGTGCAGTAGGTGGAGGTCTCCAGCATCCCTGGCACTGTGATGTTGCAACAGAGAAGGACAGCAGTGCAAGGGGTGTGGTGCTGCCTTGAGCTCTGCAAAATCTTGCAGGGAGAGCTTATCTGCTGGTGCCCTTTATGGCCAGGAATCCATACAGTAACACCCACATCAAAGGAAACAGATTTATTTTATTTTTTTTAGCAGTGTCTGATCCTTCTGCTCCTCTGTGGAGCTGGAGGAATTAAGGGAAAGGGAGGTAAAGCTGCCCAGCAGCTGCAAGGCTGGAGAGCTGCAGCAGTGTTCCCAGCAGGAAAAGGCAGAATTCCTGGTCTGAACTGCCTCCTTGTCCCTGTCCTGTGTCGTGGTGAAAGTTCCCTGCTTCAGGTGGTGGACTTTGGCTCCTGTAGCTAAAGAGTAAATTCCTTCTGTGCCTGAGGAAAGACCCAGGCTGGTCTGGCTGCTGGGAACAAGTGCAGCTGTTCTGGGAGTGTCCATGGAAGGAGACCTGCTCTGTCTGCCCTCTGACATGCCTCTCTCCAGGTTGCAAGATCTTTTTTTGGGTGTTAATCTGTTTTGTGTAGGGTGGGGGAGAGCTGGAAGAATTGTACCTGTCTCCTTTTTTTGTTTGCCCTTCCGAGCCAGGAAGGCTGGCACCTCTCCAGCTGTGTGCTGCCACTGTGGCCTCAGACTGCTGTCACAGCAGCCTGTGACAGCCACTCCTGACAGCGGGCAGCCCAGAGAGACTGAACATATTCCTTAGGTCTGGGAGGAGGAACGGGGAAACTGGACAAAGGGATTGGCTGATTGGAGCGAGGGCGTGGGGAAAGGGAAGAAAATGAGCTCATGCAACAGCAGGGCTCTGATCCTGTTCCTCTGGCTCACAGCTTCATCAAGGACCGCTCCAAGGCCACTGGGCTGCCCATGAAAAGCAAGAAGGCCTCCAGCTTCCACGAGTTTGCCCGCAGTACCAGCGACGCCTGGGACATCGGGGATGACGAAGACGAGGATGAGGACTTCTCCTCCTCCTCGTCCTCTTTGCAAACCCTGAACTCTAAAGTGGCCAAGGCCGCGGCAGCGCAGGTTCTGGAGAACCACAGCAAGCTGCGGGCCAAGCCCGAGCGGTGCCAGCCTGCCCTCGGGGACCTGCCCACCAACTGCAAGGTCATCAAGTCCAGCAGCGAGGCCCAGCTCTCCAGGACCTCTGGTAAGGGCCACCTTCAGGAGCAGCCTGCTGCTCCAGTGCTCTCTTGCTTGGCCACTGAACTCGACTGCTCCTTGCTACTCCCAGTATGGGCAAGAAGCTTGTCTTCCTTTTGGTATCCTGTACTCCAGGGAGCCATTTTCAGAGGCCTGGCTTTAATGCTTGTGTCCTCAGCTGCTCAGTGTGTGTCCCAGAGTATTCCATGTTCTGGGTGCTAAGTCAGTTTTGAAATCTGCTAAGTTCTCACTGTCTGCTTCCACGGTGGTTTGGTGTGCTGCTCTTAGCAAAGGCCTGGGTGAGGTGGTGTTGACACAGCTTGGGCAGGGAATTGGGCAGCAGCAGCCCCTGCTCACTGCCTTGCCTGCCTGTGCAGTGACAGTACCTCAGGATGGCACTGGCAGCCCGTCAGCTCCTCTCTCTGCTCTGCCCAGCTCGATTGGTGTTTGGATCTGGAGAGCAGAGCAGATCTGAATGTCAGTTCTGCCTTGTCTCCTGTGTCCTTCCCTGTGTGGAGGGAAGTCTGGTCCACTTGCAGGTGTTTGGATGGAGGGGAAGGAAGGGAGGCAGAAATGGGGGGAAGTGGTGGAAGAGGCACCACAGGTGCCTGTGAGCTGCTGATCCATTGGAGTGGGCCAGTGGTGCTGAGGGATAGAAAGGTGGAATCTGCAGTGTCTGACAGGGGCTGTGGCAGCGAGGTGGGGCTGGAGAGGTGGAAGCTCCATCCCCAGCTCAGTGCAGCCTCTGTCCTCGCTAGAGGAGGCCTGTGTGCGGAGCCCCCTGCAGAAGCAGCAGTCCCTCCCCCTCCGGCCTGTCATTCCCCTCGTGGCTCGCATCTCTGACCAAAACGCCTCCGGGGCTCCCCCTATGACCGTGCGGGAGAAAACGCGCCTGGAGAAGTTCCGGCAGCTCCTTTCCAGCCACAACACCGACCTGGGTGAGTGGGGCACGGTGAGGCTGGGCAGGGCAGGGCAGAAGGAGCCTGCTGCCTGCAAGGTCTGCTTTGGGGTGGAAAAAAATCACTGCCTGCAGTTGTGCCAGATGGCTGTTTGCAGGAATCACCCTGTTGGCAGATGGTGATGTCCTCCAGCCCCTCTGTGTCTGTCCCTAATCATTCTCCATCTTGCATATGATGGGTGGGATCACTGGGGGCTGTCTCTGCATGAGAACGAGGTCCTGGCACATTGGTGACCCTGCAGCTCCCTGTTCTGTGCCCGAGCTGGGCTGAAATCACCTCTGCTCTCCTTGCAGCAGACCCACATCCCCAGTCATTGCTAGTGTGGGAGCCTTCCTGGAGGCTCACTGTCTCCAGAGCCTGCAGGAGCAGACTGGGCTTTCCTCTCCTTCTAGGTGTAGTGGTGCCTGGACGTGCCTAGGATCTAATCCATTGCCACCACTGTCCGTTTGCAGATGAGCTGAGAAAATGCAGCTGGCCTGGTGTGCCCAGAGAGGTCCGGCCTGTGACGTGGAGGCTGCTGTCAGTAAGTACTGGGAGCACTGTGCCACCTCAGGGACACTGCTCCCACAGTGCCTGTGTCCCATAGCCAGCTTTGCCTGTGTTCCCAGTGCCCAGCTTCCAGGTGAGCTGTAGGGTGTTTTGATCAGGGAGTGCCACTGCTGCATCCTCGTGGAGCTCAAAGCCCAGACTGGTGTGGGGACTGCGTGGCTCAGTCTCTTCTGGGAAACTGAATCTGGTGAAGTTGGATTACTCCAGGCTCAGGGGCTTAGGAAGGCCAAACTCCACGAAAGCTCTTTCCCCAGCTCCCGAGTTGTGTGCCTGATGTTTGTGCACAGCTGGCAGGATTTTGGGGTGGTGAGGAAGGAGGGTCTGCCCTGAGCTGAGCTCTCCCCACGCAGGGCTACCTCCCTGCCAACTCGGAGCGCCGCAAGCTGACCCTGCAGAGGAAGAGGGAGGAGTACTTCGGCTTCATCCAGCAGTACTACGACTCCCGGAACGAGGAGCACCACCAGGACACCTACAGACAGGTAGGGACCCTCCTGCTGCCTTCCTGGAACCCTCCTGCTGCCTTCCTGCCTTGGGTATAGCCCTCTCCTCTCTCTTGCTGCTGCTTGTCCCCATGGGTGGGCTCATGCCAGGACTTGCTCTAGCTGTAGATAGGAGGAGTCTTCTCTTTGGGGAAAAGGCACCATGGTTCTGTCCTTGTTAGTTTAAGATTTTCCTAAGTTGATCTCATTTAGGAAAATTTCAGCTCTGAACTACCTGCCTGCACATGAGCAGAGCAGACTGCAGATGATTTTCTCAGTACAGCTGTCATCTGTAGCTTGTCAGCTCTTGCCTGGGGGAACACTCATGGTGGATTCCCCTCTGTTAGCTTGTGACAACTGGAAAGCACAGCTGGTGTGTGTAACCCACCTTCTTTTCCAGATCCACATTGACATTCCAAGGACCAACCCACTCATTCCCCTCTTCCAGCAGCCACTCGTCCAGGAGGTAAGGTGGGGGTGAAGCTCCTGCCCTGCACTTGCTGTGGGATGTGTGTGTGGAGTGAGGCCAGCACTGCTCCTGGGGAGTTACCTTTGTGGGGAAACTTCCCTGCCTGACACTCCTGATGCAAATGCCCCTGGAACTGTCTGGTCTTGTCCCACGTTTCTGAAAGATAGCAAACCTGGAGCTTGGGGGTTATGAGATGATCTCTTCTTTAGCAAGAAGTAGCCAAGAGCTGGTAAAAAACTGAAGCTTTGGAGACAAATTGAATGCATTTGAACCAGAACACTGGATAGTTCTGTTCTGTTTCAAAACCTCTTTTATGGGAGAAACCTGGGCAGGGATGGGTTCTAGAGGTGGCCAGGAGGTGTGGGCACCTGTCCTCTCTGGAAACAAGCTCAGTGTGTGTATGTGGTGTGTCAGAGCATGGTGTCCAGGGCGTTGGGAATGGTGGTGGCTGTGAAGGAGGCTGCCCTGTTGGGAAGTATCCTGATCTGTGGTGCTTTTCTGGAAGTACTGTGCTGATACCTCACCTTCCCACCTGGTGTTCAGCCAAGGAGGCTGCTCTGCCCTGTCCTGTGGATGTTAAGCTGTCTGGGTCTTGAAAAGTTGGGTCTGCATTTCTTCAGGCAAAGGTTTTGATGAGGAGCCTGGGCTGTCTTGGCTGGCCTGCATGTGGGATCTGTGGATGACACAGAGTCTCTCCTAGGACTTCTATGCCTCTAACATTGCCTTACTGCTACAGAAAAGCCTGTCAGTGCATGGTCTGCACTCCCTGAGCTTAGCAGTTACGCTTTTCTGCCTTCCCTTCGTGCATGGCTAATGCAGGTACCTGCTTTCCCTGGTTCTTCCCTAGATTTTTGAGAGAATCCTGTTTATCTGGGCCATTCGCCACCCAGCCAGCGGCTATGTGCAGGGCATCAATGACCTGGTCACCCCCTTCTTTGTTGTGTTCCTCTCTGAGCACGTTGGTAAGTGACACTTGCTGCTCTGAGCACTCCTGACTGTGGGATTTGAAGTGGTGTGAAATGCTGGCATGAGGAGAACTTGCTCTGCTGGAGAAGGGGATGATGTGCTCTTCCTTTAGAGTGCCTGGGCCTGCCTGGAGTTGTGTTTTGACCTCTTGCTGTATCTCTGCTCCCTGGCTGCTTGCCAGGATTTCTGAGCCTCTGAAACTGGAAATGGGCCAGCTTAGCCCTGTTATTTATCTGATGTAGTGATGTGACAGCAGCGTGGTGGGTGCTCTCTTGCCAAGGAGAAAAGGGAGGGAACTGCTGGGTCAGTCAAGCCAGGAGGGCCAGACCTGTGTCTCCTGACTTTGAGTGTTGCAGAGCCTCCTGAAGCTTTGGCCTGATAAAGCCCCTGGGACTGTCCCATGTCCCTGGTGTCCCCCATCTCCCTGATGCTCTTCCCTCTCTGTTTTGCAGAGGAGGATGTGGAAAACTTTGACGTGACAAACCTGTCCCAGGACGTTTTACGGAGCATCGAAGCCGACAGCTTTTGGTGCATGAGCAAGCTGCTGGATGGGATCCAGGTGAGCCTCTGGGGCCACAGCAATTCCTTTGCCCTCGCTGGGGTGGCAGTGTGGTTGTTTCCTCTCCCTGTCTGGGGGAGTATTCTGCATGCTCCAGCATTTAGGGAGGTTTTGCTACTTCAGTGACTTCAGTTTGTTCACTGAATGTGTTAATCTGTGAAATCCTGGGGAGATGGGTGCTGTGGCTGTCCAGATGGCCCCGTGCTGACCAGGGAGCTCACAGCAGGCACAGTCCTGGTGCTCAAGAGCCCTGTCTCCTTGGCTCATGATAATCTCATCCCAACTGTCCCAACTGCTGATCTGGGTTTCATCATTTCTAGCTGTTGTTCAAGCTGCTGCTTCTGACTCAGGGCCTTCTCCCCACAGGACAATTACACCTTTGCACAGCCAGGGATCCAGAAGAAAGTGAAAGCCCTGGAGGAGCTGGTCAGCCGGATCGATGGTAGGTGACACGGGAGTCTGGTCAGGATTGTCACAGCACAGGGAGTCTCCTTTGGGACAGCTCTCAGGGCAGGGGTGGACACTTCTTACAACACTCATGGAAGCAGAGCAGGGCAGGGTCAGCCAGAAACCCCCTGGTGACAGCACAGGGTGAGGAGAGAAGGAATTTGGGAGAAAAAGATCTCAGCCTGAAAGTGT